GGTGAATTGTGAGAATCCAATTTATACGCTAACCGCAAAATACCGTCAATCAATCAATTTATCGTGATATATTGGCAGGAAAGATTTGTATCGTGTGGAAAGTCTCAGATTTTTTTATGGAACGTAAAGGCCAAGTTTATGGTAAGGAATTTTTTATTTTTTATTTTTTCAATGGTTAGATTGTTGTTTGGCCAAAACAAAATGATTTTCTTTATTAACCTTTAATATTTAGAAACTACATCATATTTTGATTTATTTGGTGTCAAATCGTATTTATTTGGTGTCAAATTGTATTGACACCATAAAAAAAAAACTTTCATAACATTTATTCTTTTATAAAATAATACCATCAATTTTATATTTAAAAAATTAAAAAATAATACTTAATAAAACGATATCGTTTTACCTGTTTCCATCTTATATCCGTTGTTTTCATTTTTTTTTTCACAGAGTGGAAGTCACTACACGAAAAAGCAATCCCAAGCGCACAAAAAATTGAATCTTCCCCACTGCCTCAAGTGCAGCCCCAAGCGCACAAAAAGCTAGACCTCCTTGCTAAATCGATTCGAAGACAATGGTGAAGAACTAGTCTCGAAAGAACCCCAAACAATTAACTCTTCCTTGCACCCTTCAAGCACCTATAATTAATCAAAATTTGAAGTAAATCGAAGTAAAAGAGTAGTGAAATTTGAGAGGGGAAGAAGGAAATCAATTGAGGAAAACTAGAGATCTAAAAAATTAGGGTTGCCTGTGAAAACAAGATGAAAATGCGCTCCTTAAGAAAAAAAATTGACAACAATGGATATGAGATGAGAACAGGTAAAATGACATTGTTTCATTAAGTCTTACTCTCCAATTTTAGGAGGTAAAGTTATGGACATTATTTCTTTTATTTATTTATAAGATTTAAATTTAATATTTTATTTAAAAATCGAAATCATTTTAGTTAGACAAACAAATTGTTGGTACAAAATGATAAAATTGTTGATTATTGATTAGCCATACATTATTTTTAATGATAGGAATTTTAAACTAGTTTTACATAAAAAACTGAATAGTAATCTTCCCAATATTCAAATTTATACAAATTATTGTGTATGTTTATAAAATCTCTCCTTTTTTTTTAAACCAAAAACAATTGAGATGATAGGAGTTGGGGTAGGTATGGCCCCTCAAAATTTTCAAAAACCTTATATTTTGATAGATAATTTAGTTATTTACTCTTTAAAAAAATTTTAATTGATTGACCCTTAAAATTTTTCCAGCCCAGCTTGTCTTCGAAAAATATATCCTACTAGTTCACAATTATAACAACTCTAAAGGTGCATTTGGTTCATTACACTACCAAGAAAAAATATCGAGAGAAGTCAAGCATATTTTTCTAGCTTGACTTAAAAAGTCTTTGGCCCAAGTAAAGATGGCAATTTCTTCTGCAACTCGCGGAGTTTCACGAATTTTTCCACCATAAAGATGGAGATTTTAAAAATATTCCTTCTTGTGGGGTGAGAATGGAGACATTTTTTTCTTGTGAAATTTCGTGGGGAATTTCTTCCATCCCGTGGAGAACCATGAAGGTCTATATAAAATAAAAAAATAAATAAATTTATTTATATATACATTTTTAAATATATTAACAATTTATTTTTACTTACTCAACCCAATTAATTAACCAATCCTTCTTTTGTTTTTTTTAGTTTTTTCAAACCCAATTATATAGTCCAGTCTAACTCATAATCTTCTTAAACTTAATTGTCTAAGTCCAACCCAATTTGCTAATAACCCTAGAACTAGGAGGACTATTTCAGATTTCTAAGATTTGCAAATCTACTCTATGATTCATCCTTTCCAGACTCTAGTCTCCTCTCCTCTATGTTGTATCTCACTGGTTTTGTTTCTGTTCTTCAATCGGTCAATTCCCTTCAACCTATCATTCTCGGCAACCTTCGAAAGACAGTGCCCATAACTCTGTTTCTATTCTTTAATCGTTACTTGCAGCTTGCCTCAGCTTGAGTTGTGAGTATTTGTGAGTATCTGAGTATCTGTACTTGATGATTTATTTTGAGCTGAAGCAGATTTCATTTTTTTGGCCTTATTATTCCCGATTTCATTTTCCCGATTTCATTTTCCCTCCGATTGTTTGCAAGATTTTCAGAATGTGATTTTCATTGTTTACATGCTTGCGTGGCTTCTTTCTCGCATTCGCAGCGAACGATAATCGTATTGTTGTTTTGAGGCTCATTTAAGCTCTTAATTCGTTCTATCTTCAGTTAATTTCTCAAACAAGAAACAAGCATCGAGTTTTATTTGGTGGGGACTCTAAATATCCACGGGGACCTATTATTGTCCGCGGGTATAGGGATAGAGGCTATTTTTATCCTCCGTAAAAAATCATCATGGGGATCCCCGTACCCGTCATTGATGGGGATGGAAATGGAGATGGGGAGAGGGTCCCTGCCCTCGTGGGGACTCGTTGCCATCCCTA